CACCTGTCAAAACAAGGTATCCGCTGACCAGTATCATGTGACCATATCGCGGGCTCAAGTTTACAGCTCATCGAGGTCACGTGTTTTTCTGAAGTTGACCGCTGACCAAGTGCTGTTTTTATTATTATTATTATTATTATTAATATAATTATTATTGGATCGCGGGTTCATGTCAGGCTAACTTGTTGAAAACAGGGCGGGGTTCTTCGGAAGCAGGTCAACGCTAACCCAAGATTAAAAGTTAGCCGAATTATAACTTTCTCTTCTATACAAATGCTTTTTGCTGCTTTATTTTGTGTACATGGTGATTATTAAAACTCAGAACAGAAGGCCAAACAATATACAGCAAACCTCACGGCAAAGTTACAAAACTCAAATCAAAATTCCACCTTTCCTACCTTTTAATCGGGCTCCGAACAACCCGGCCCAGGAGCTACGCTTTTAGGCTGGCCGAAATCTATATATTACGTAATAGACCAATTTCGATATATTAAAGTTCAGCTTAACACAATAGACCTCAGCACGAGGCTCTGGGGATTAAACCCCACAAACTCTGTAGTTATTCCGCAGAGCCTCGCACTGAGGTCTATTGTTTTAGGCTGAATTTTAATATATCGAAATTGGTCTATTAGACTAGCATTAATTTGCAGCCTCTTACATTAACCATGTGACCCAGGTTTTTTTGAAAAAGTAGATACAGTGTATTGTGTGTGCGTGTGTGTGTGTCAATATGTGTGTGGTCGATCAACGTAAATTCCTGTACACTTAAAGTTTTGTAAATTTACACTAAGCAATGTATAGATAAAGACAGGAGAAAAAAATCACCATCAAAACTAACAACAACAACAGCAGCGACAAAAAAACAATAGCGATAACAACATTAAAAACAACAACATCGTCAACAACTCAACAACAGGAGTGACAAGAATAATAATACCAACAGCAATAACATCAACATCAACATCGTCATCGACAACAACAACAGACCGCAGTTATTTGGTCCTTTCTATTATGCAGAGGAAATATTTCGCAGTTATTAAACGGCGACTTTTTTGGCCCTTTCTATTACGCAGAGTAAGTATTTCCAATGCAGTTTACGGTTTTTCTGGTTTTGCCAAGGAAGTTACACCCTGCAGTCTCGCTAAAACGGTAATTCCAAGGGCCCTCTTATATAGCCTTCTACCCAGACTTTCTTTCAGAGGGATGCACGACAAGCCTAGTCTCTTTAGCAGCCCTTATTTGGGTCGTAACGGCTGCCAAGCAGACTATGAAAAGCTAAAGATAACATCAAAGCAAAAGACTATTTCTCAAATACCACGTGGCAGGGATAATATCTTGTGGACTTTGACCGTAGACTGTGGACCATTGAGTTTCTATAGTTCAATTGCGAGTTGTTTCCCCTTTTCGTCGCGGCAATAACATTGCGCTCACTCGCTCCGTTCACGTGGAATAAAAGTAAAGGAGAGACTGTTTGGTTATAGAATAAAGTAGTTTGGTTGTAAAATGGGGCTGCCATTGTGCCTACACAAATGAAAATTCTGACGATGGCAATCAAAAAGTAACTTCAGAATGTGGTGTTTCTTGTAAACAAAAATCACCTAAAATCATTTTATCGTGCAATTTGTTTCCAGTTTCATATTGCTATAGGTCTGTGGAACCAATTTACACAAAAAAGAAGCTTTTTAGACCACGATGTGTTCTGCACTAACGAGGGAATAGGCAGAAATAAACTTCGGAAAGTAAAACAAGCTTAGACGTATAAAAATTAAATAACAGAAAGAGAGATTCTGAAGACTAACAAGGCTTTGTTAGTGAGGGCTTTTATCGGCAGTTCGGTTTTCGGCTTTCGACGAAATTTCTTGCGGTTTTGCGGTTTTGCGGTTTTCGGCGATTTTTTGCGCGGTTTTCGGTTTCTAATTGACCCCTACGCCCCCCTCCGCCATTAACCAACGGTCCAAATAAATTAATGGATTAATTAAACTAGTAATAGTTATCACTTAAGCTGGCCCGCTTTCTTTTATTTCCACTCACTGAAAACAATTGAACATTATTGTATGAACTAAAACTTCTACATCTGTTTTTTGGTAAAATATTTATGTATAACTCATAATGTTCCTATAACTTAGGCATCTTATCATGGTTATTATCCAAACATTCAACTAAGTAAACTAAACCAGCACTTCCTATTTAACTCATTCCATTCCAGACAGCCGTGAGTTTTCGTTTGAAAGGACACAAAAAGTACTTTCTGAAAAAAAAGGTTTCCTTCATGGAAACTAATATTTCTGTTACAAAAATTTCACTCAGTAGAACTTAGGAAAAAAAAAGGTTAAAAAAATTATAGACAAATCAAATATTATGTCAAACCACTCTGCTGTTTGAATTTGATGATGAAACAAACCATTTTTCTTGTTAGAAGAGCAAACGTATCTCGAAAGCAGAACAGCAGTTGAGAAAATCATCTGGAACTTGCTGTCACGATTTTTTTCTGAGACGGGTAGGAGGAGGAAGCACCCGGCAAAGAAAAGGCCTTTCTTTGCAATTCCCCCCTACCCCTACCCTCTTCCTAAGGAAGGCCTGATACTCAGGTTATTAACAGAAGTATCGCGCTACTGTCACCTCTAATTCTTTGTCCTCAACGAAACCTCTGCAAAACATTTACATTTGGATTCCTGCCAAGTCACACAGCCGTGACATCAGCTCTACGCCACGTAAGATTACTCAACACAAATAAGCGATCCGAATAAACGACATGCCAAAGGTAGAACTGGCGATCGGAAGTATTTTAGTCACAATTGAACACGAGCAAAGCGACACTCGCCTCGAATATCGAGATTTACCGGTTGTTTTGAGTTGTTTTTATAGCAAAATCCATCTTTAGGATCTTTGAAATTGTTTTCAATTTGTTCTATATCAGAATCTCCGCCAGTTCGAAAGAATTTACTTGATCGCGGTGTGTTTATTCGATCCCCAGCAAACTTTCGGCAATCCTTTACGAGCCGACTGTTCTCAAAAATCGAGATTTTTCTGCTACGGCAAAATTGTTTTCGATTTGTCCTATATCAGAATCTCCGCCACTTCGCAACCTCGTTCCCAGGGTCGAGGTTGCACCATTTCGGAGCGAATTTACTTGATCGCGGTAAAATCGTCATGCTTGGAGTATATTAACCGGGACCACCGTGCGCGCCTAGTTTCTTCAAATTGGGATCGATTCCCATTCCCATACTACAGACAATTACCAATATACCATTACGTCTTAATACGCGGGGGGCTATTGATGCCTGCCCAAAGACCAAAACCCTGCGGGGGCAACAACATTTGTGTTGCTCCCCCACCAACCCCATCGATCCCGCCATGCCGAGAGGGCGTGGAATAACAGTGGCTTTGTTATTCAAATATGACAAGCAACAATTTACATTCAGAAGTTATTAGAAAACCGCATAACTATTAAACTAACGGACGTGAAATACAGCTTTGATTTCGCAATACAACTGTTTAAACTTTCTTTAGCCCAGCACCCGGGCTAAGAGAAGTTAGTTACGACGGACAAAGATCAAGCAAGTGATGACTGACGTAGGTAAGTACAGATATGAGGGCACAGTTATGATTCAATTAAATCCTCTTTTGTGGAACATTTGTGCTGGGAATTAAGTCAACATATGTAAGTAACCTATGGATGTTGTTTTAATCATCCCTGCTGATTTTTAACTCCAGCAGCATGCAGCAATCAAACCGATGTTATCAATAAAAACATATTATCGATTGACTACCAAGACACAATCGTATCAGGCCACGCTAGTGAAATTCTTCGATTCTCTTCTCCGGCGTACTCGTGATCTCGCTGATTTGGATAAAACTTGTTCACCTCTTGTTCTATCCACCCAGCAAACAGTGGATTGCAAGTGCAGTTAGTTATCTCAGGGTTTTTTTTGTTGCCTTGAGCGTTAACACTCGGAAAATATTTTGTAACCACGAAAAACTGACTAGCAAAAGGAAATATCGCTTATACCTTAACTGTCCGTGCAAGGTAATAAACTTTGAAGGACAATGTGACCGACATTTTGTTTCCCTCTCAATTGAAAAGACATTTCGATTAATCAGTGCTCTCCTTTTCTTGTCCCTGCGAGAGAAAACAAAGGCGGTATAACGAGAAAAGCAAATAACAACATCTGAAAAAAATCGAAAAAGCAAAAACCGCTATGTGATATTCCAAGTTATGAAATATGCCATTCCTGAAATTCCTAAAACCCAAAGTATTTAAAAAAAATTATTATTAGACTTCAATCCTTGAATGTCAGTCTCTTCTAAACACAAGGTCACTCACTGGTACACTAGCGGTAGTTTCCGACTGTATATATACACAAAGATCTCGAACTGATCGGCACAGGGGACATCACCTCCTCGTTTTACAGCAAGACCGAAGAAACCACTAATTTCGTCTACTTCGAAGGTATTGAACCTACCTTTGGTAGAATCTTTGCATTAAGATAAGATAAGAACTTTATTAACGTGTCAAAGCAAGCGTAGAACGCTTGCTTAGCAATAACAACCTAACAGCAACTTATTCCTATATTCCAGCACACCTAGAACTAGTTTTTAAAACAGAGAGATGTTAACAAACAATTAAGGGCAGAACCTATCTGTAATAACGTTTTAATCACTGAACTCGCAGTAAGATTCTGTAAGATTTACGGTCGAGTGGTTTAGAGCACATGGATCGTTTGTTGAGTAAGTGCATTGTCGTCTGGCTTCGATATGAACCTTTGCATAACAAACTGCGTTGAAAGGTAAACCGGCCAACGAAAAAGCAAACAACTTTCTAAAATCTCCCACTTTTCTGTGTTAGGTTACTCTATTCAATTCCTAATCATTTGCTCATTAAAATTCAAACGTTGTACAACAACTAATAACGTTTGTTCGAAAGAATTCAATCTGAACGGTAGCCTGTTGACCACACGATAGCAAGCTAACAATATCAGGGCTTACAATGGTGTAAGACAGTAACTCCGGGATTCTTGCTTCCTGTCCTTCCTTTTTGAAGGAAGAAAATCATTATCAAAGAGTTAGTTTCCTGCAAATTAACAGTGAATCTGGCGCTATGCATCGTTGCCCAATATATCTCATGTATAATTCAACTCAAACTAATCGATTGCACAACTTTATTTGTTTGGAAAGATTAAGTCACACTGATAAGGAAAAAAAGCTAAACGTTTTAAAATTCAACACTTGGTGTATCTGTACAGGCCCGCAAATGACCCCCAAATTGTACTGCAAATGATCCCAGGACCGGAAATGATCCCCAGACCATACCGTAAATGGTCGCCTCGCAATAAAAAAAGGCAAATATATGAACTCAGGAATTTGGACAGTGTATTAACGGTAACCGACAACAAGCTCTGGGTGTAAATTAGTTTGTGCGGGTTGCATCCAAGATATTTCTCGCTAAACCAGAATCAAATACAGCAAATGTACTTTCTATTCTCTTGCTCTCTTGCTACAGAGGAAACTGAGGGAATGTCGCGAACGCGTACTACATGTTTCTTGAGACGGTAAACCGTGACTGTAAAATGAGTCATTCGTTAGTCGTTAGCCTGCGTAGCAAGCATTCCCTACTCAGGGCTCTTTCCGCATTCTCGGCCGCGTGCAAACAAGCAAGAGCAAAAAAATCGACGAAAAAGCAGTCGGTTTTTCGCTCTCGCTCCAATTTGCGCACGGCCAGAAAGGAAGGAAAAAACTTTAAGTACGGGTACGCTTGCTACGCAGGCTAGGCTATTTAAATGAAAACTTATGACCACCCCTCCCCCNCCCCCCCCCCATTTCAATGATAGATCGAATGCGTGTTTTGGTTGTAGCGCGAGTTCATCGTTGATTCGGGGTAGGGGGGGTTTAATTCTTATTTCATTCTGACCAAGATTGTAGTTGTTCGTTTGTAGACATGTGTACACGACCTTGACATAGCACTCGGAGCGCTTACCTCGATAAAAACATTTTGGAATTATGACCTTGCGGGCATTACCGGCCACACTTTCAAAAGTTCCATATCCTTTAATAAAGTTAGAAGATTACAGACATTAAGTTGTGCTCCAGCAACAACAACAACAACAACAAAGGTTCCTACGTATTTCATGACCAAAAAATAAGAATAGTTTGGGCAGTAAAGAATCGATACATGTACGATATTAATTACTTTCCGACAGATCAGGAGACTCCATGGCAACGTTGATTATCCGAGGCTTAAAATCAGACTCTGCGGTTGACTAGCCTGCGAAGAGACGCTTCGCGCTCGCCTCGCTTTCTCTTCTGTTCGCCTAAAATACGCAAAAAAAAAATCTTATAACACTTAGTGGACTGAGGACTTGCATTGTAAAAATACGTTTTGTGTATAACTCACGTCCCTTGACGGCATGAGGGTCTACGGTTATCCGTTGATTAAGGCATGACGGAACTCTTAAGTGACGAGACTTTGGACTTAAAATCAAAATTGCAGCGTTGACATGTGCAACTTTCCTCGTTTCCGTTGGCAACACGTGCGTTGTCTACAATTTCGCGTGCAACGTCAAAGTCCGACAAGTTACCACTTGAAACGGAGCCAGTTCGCCGTGAAAACAGCACGACGCGGTTACCAGACTACCGTCGTACCTTACTCAAGTGATAATCGTTCTTCGTCCCAACTGAGCTTTTCAGAATAAAGGTACAATAACATATATCTGGGTAGGTAGGCTAAATCTGCATACGAGCCAAGTGGCTCATCAGGCCGGAGCTTATCCCAGTTTCAGTAGCATGAGGCAGCTAGGGGTATTTCTACTCTCCCCTCCCCCCACATGGATGGGATGCCAGTCGTCCTAGTCAATCGCAGGGTTACCCCCAGCATTTGATTCGCCGGTACCTATTTATACACCTGGGTGGAAAGAGGCACCATTAGAATAAAGTGTCTCGCCCAAGAACTCCCCGGTCAGGACCGCTCGCTCCGGGGTCGAACGCACTAACCATGAGGCCACCGCGCCTCCCACACTAGATAAATAAAAATAAATAAATAAATAAATGAATGAATAAATAAATAAGTAAATAAGTAAAAAAGTAAATAAGTAAATAAGTAAATAAATAAATAAATAAATAAAAAGACAATTTAAATGAATAAAAAGGGCCGGAACATAATTTTTTCAGAGTGGGTGAAAATAATCGTGCATAGGGGAGCCATGGGGGAAAAAATCGAGCAAGCGGTTTCTAAGTTCTATCTTTGATGCGAAAAAAATTCTTGCACATGCCATTGCCCACTAAAAAAAAGTCATGCACAACCTAAAGGTACGAAAAAACATTCATACTCTAGAAAGTTACATAACCCCTGCCCCCCTCCCCTTCAAAAAAAAAATAATAATGGTCCGTCCCTAACCTCGATTCTTTCCGCCTACGAGCGGTTTCCGTGGATACCATGGGATCGTCACGCCTTCTTTTCCCGCCAATCTTACTCGTCTTCGACTAAAGCGATCACACCCTGGGAACATTTTTCACGCGATCACATTTTTCACGCGACAACATTGATTTCGAATTGTGCAAAACAGACTGCTTTTGATTAGGCGGAGAAAATTGATCCAAGGTCGTGACCATTGTTCAAATATTGTTAATATTGTTTCCTGTTGGCGTGTTTACGTGCGTGATTGACATTCCTCGGATGCTGCTTACATTTCATTCGTATGCTCACGGCATCTGAATACCTTGGTTTTGCACTCATTGCTGTACATATCCTGAACTCATCACTTCATCTTCCTCCCGAAATAGAAGTAACTGGTCGAGATCAGTCAAAAAGTATAAAACTGGAAGCCTGAAATCAGGTGCGCGCACTGTTGCAAAACTCATTTGAATAGCACAATCAACTGCGTGTTTACATCGTGGAAGTTTGTAAATTGTCTTTGGCAGATTTAAGCAAGTCAAATTATGAGCGATCATATAGGTTATCTGTTCAGATGGTTTTTTTTAACTGAGCGTTTTAGTGACTCCCTACGTTAGATGTCTTGTAACATCCATCCCGTTTAATGACGCGATTTTTTTTTTACATATATTTCTTGTTCATTGCTCTTCACAGGTATGGATCTATCTTTGCGAGATGACAAATCAACCGATTTCCTGACTCACAAATCTAAAGAAGACCTTTCTTATGAACCGAAAGAATGGAAGGGAAAGTCTTCAAATGACATTACCGCTGCCGAGAGTGGTGATGGTGGGAAAGAAAACCGTGAGACTTGGGGACACAAAGCGGAATTCATCCTAGCCACTGTTGGTTTAGCTGTTGGTTTGGGCAACGTTTGGAGGTTTCCGTACCTTTGCCAGAAAAATGGAGGAGGTAAGAATGGAGTCTTAAAAATTTCTTCACGTATTATTACGTATTTCAGTGGAAAACCAAAAAAAGCTAAAACTTAATTTAATTTCAGAAGAGAACGCCCTACGCGCCGCAGGTCGCGCGTCGCATCGTGTTTAAGCGCCTTTCAATTCACCAACAGAACAACGCATCACGCTACACGTCGAACCTCGAAATCAAAGCTTTCGCTGAAATCCACACTGTACTTGACCCCTCATGTCAGCGTAGCTTAATGCGGTTTTTTCTTATACGGTGGGGAAGAGAGCAGGATCAATGGCTACTGTTTTTATCATTTATGCTAAAACGTGACCGAATGACGAATGCATACACGCGATTGCGTAACGAGTATCAACAATGTTGGAGATAAACTAACATACGGATGGGTTTGTTTGGAATCATCCCAAAGAAAAGCACTCTAAAATCAAAGCCAGAACTTGAGCAAGACTCGAGTGAAGACTATATATTACTAGAGAGTATATTTCTATCAACGGAGTTTAATTATTTGTGAAAGTTCTTGTTACTGTGATCTACCAACTATGCTGTGATATGTCATTTTTCAGTGAACCATAAATAGTAAATGTATGTACGTTAAATATCTATTGAGTAAATACATATTAAAAAAGTAATTTTAAATTCTTTGTGTACCCAGTCCATGGACCCAAGTGTGGACCACCCTAAATTTGTATCGCTTGGTATATAGGATGGACTGAGAACTGCAGATAGAATGCAAACAACACCAGTATCAATACTATCAATATACCACCATCAATATTTCACAACTGTTATCTTCTCTTCCTGGACAAAAATAGTTGGGAATGTTTTCAAAATACAATTAATTACATTGAGTTCAAATTAATAAATAGCAAACACAAACAAGCCTTGTACTTCTGTTGTTAGAGCAATGTTTGCTACCTTTGCAAGGGGATAGGGAGGGACAGAACAAGACTGCTAAATTACCTTCTCAAACTCATTAACAATTCATCAAGTTTGAACAAAGGAATTCTTGACCGTGACGGTGTGTGGATATCTGATCTTAATTAGCATCGATTTTGACGATTTAATTTCTCCTTTTTCTCCTTAGTTTTAGTTTCGATTGAGAATATATATCAAACACTCAAGACAGTGTTTGACCACATTTCCAAACACCTCGAAGTTCATCTAAAATACTGTGCTCCGCGTCATATTTTCATCTCTCTTCTTGGTGCTTGGAAATGTGGTCAAACATGGTCTTTTGTGTTTGATATATTACTTCCAAACAATTTTTCTTGGGCTTCTGTGTAATTAATATGCTTTTGCTGCCAATTCAGTTTTAAACACAGTCTACAATTATTTCCTCTTCTGATTGATTCCTGGTGATTCTCTGATTGGGCATGCCATATGGATGAAGCATCGAACTCCTACATCTGTGAAGCATACCTAGCTTTTTTCTATCCCTTATTAAGCTTGTACAGTACTGATAATTTTTACAATTTTGAGATAGATAAAAAATGAAAATAAAACTAAAGATTTATTGCCCACCTTGGATGTACTCGACATTTTTTTAAAACCAAACCATTCCAACTTAGGTCAAACAAAAAGGGCTGGACATTACATGTAGTTCCACATTGCTACTAGTGTTATTTATAGGATGCTCCTGTCTTAGATTTGTTGTAAACAGAGTTCAGTTTTATGAACACATATTTGCAACTTTTTCCCTCACTTAATGCCACTCTTTATCAACAGGTGCTTTCCTTATTCCTTATGTTATCTTCATGGTGATTGAGGGATTACCACTCTTCTTTCTGGAGCTAAGTATTGGTCAGCGAATGAGGAAAAGTGCCATAAAATGCTGGCAAGATGTGCATCCAGCCCTGTTTGGAATTGGTGTGGCATGCCTTATGGTGTCTCTGATGTTGTGTCTCTATTATGTGGTTGTAATAGCTTGGTGTTGTTATTACTTCTTCATTTCATTTACCTCACTACTGCCGTGGGAACATGACAAGCTATGTAACAACTACAAGGCATTTACACAACTTGGAGAAGCTGTTGCCCAATGTGCCAAGAACAACTCTTGTTCAAACACAACTCATGCACGTTTGAAGTCAGAATATGATAACTTCCCTGATTGCTGTGTGCGAGATCCACCACAATATTACTTCTACCATCACACACTGCAGATCTCAACTAGTATTGAAGATACTGGTGTTGGAATAAATGGAAAACTTGCTGGATGTTTGGTGTTTGCATGGGTTATTACATACCTTTGTGTAGTCAAAGGAATCAAGTCAAGTGGAAAGGTATGATTTTTTAATTAAATTTGCTTCATCTGTAATGATACACTTGAAAAATTACTTGATTCTGATTGGCTAAGAGCAATGAAATTCAAGTGTACAGGGCAGGAAAAAAATTTGAAATCCACTTGCTCAGTGGGCCAGTAAATTTCAGTTTTCAATTTCCCTTACTTAAATATTACTTGCCAATGTGGCAGCCTGTATGGAATCAGAGGACAAACGTGAACGTATGTATGCGAAAGTATGCTTGGAATCCTAACTAATCCATGCTTACAACCTAATGGTTAACTAATCTTTCAGTCTTAGGTTTTGAAATAGCTTCTGACTGGAAATTATCATTAATATCAAGCTGAGATTTTTATTCAGACTCACAAGACTACTGGGACTAATTTCACTTGGCCACAAGGCCACTGGACTTCTATTTTTACTTGCCCAAGAACAAACTTTACTTCCCCCAGACAATCAAACCTGGGTTTTTTCCTGCCTTGAGAGCAAAAAGTGTATCATGAATCCAAAGTTGTAAATGAGTGCAAATTACATTTGAAGAAGATTTCTGAAGTTAGTACAAAGGCACTAAAAGACTTGGTATTTTGAAGGTGGTCGAAGTTCATTCAAGGTCTTCACAAAATAGCCAAAGGTAATTAAACATTTTCAGAACACTTCCGAAGATCATCCGAACCCTTCCAAAGATCTATGAATATCACCAAAACATTTTGAAACACCTCCAAAGATCACCCAAGATTGAAGATTGTCAAAGATCACCTGAGGATTGTCAAAGATTTTCCCACATAATCAGAAGTTTTGCAAATGTTTAACAATTATTATTCCATGAGTGCACATCAGATATGAGATGGTAGATAGCCAACAAGGCCCTTTGAAAAATTTACTAAGCTACAACATTATCTTTCTTTACAACGACTAAAACAAACTTTTTATGACCTTATTTATCCATATATTTTGCATACAACACTGGCACGGAGTAGTACTCTATAGTCAGATATTAAGAAAATACAAACAAAACAGAGCCATGTTTCTTTGCTGTTACCTTTGGAAAAAAAAAACCAAAAGTGCACTCTCTTTATTAAATGTATACTTTATTCTAAACATAAATAATGTTTATGGTATATATGCCTTAAAATTTATATACCTTTGGCACATAAGACAATCTGCTAATTAGACTTTCTAAAAGTAGAAGCAAAGCATTAAGTAAAGGTCGACTTGTGGCAAGTCTATTGCCTAACCTATCTAAATAAGAAAAAATAACCATAATGTTATTGTTGTTCAGTTACAAGTAGTTATCAAACAATTTGAAACTTTTATTAATGTGTAGCTGTAATCAGAAAGGAGAATTAATATTTTGATATTGGGATAACCAAGGTTAGAGAAGCCCATGCATTGTTCAGTAACCACATTTTTTGTGTTGATAATTTACCTCACAGGTTGTGTATTTCACTGCAACCTTTCCTTATGTCATCCTGATCATCTTGTTCTTTCGAGGAGTTACATTAGAAGGAGCAGGCAATGGTGTAAAAGCCTTTTTTAGCCCAGATGTAAGTACCTCAGCTTATAATCAGTTACCATAACGAAAATCCATTAGTTTCAATCAAGTACTGCATTAGTAAACAATTAGCTACAGATCTTACATGTCACAGAACTTCTCATGAATTTTTTTGTTTTCGTTTATTTTCCACCAACTTCTTCCCCCAAAGGGTGAATCCTTTTCCCACCATATAAACCTAATCTGGACCACAATCCTTTTGGAGCAATCTCACCAAGTGAGTTCGAAAACACCAAATGCTGTGATGCTGGCTGGGTGTAGCTTGATTAGAAACTTTCTTGTGTGAATAACAAACAATCTGAGATATACTACAGGGAGCTACATCATCAGTACGGAATTTCAGGGTTAAATCCCAGACATCCCTCACTAACAATCGAAGCACAATATTTCTTTACTTAGATCACACTTGCCTACTCAGTTGCAGACAACTTGTTTTTTAGTTAAGCTAAGTTCTATACAGGATTAATGAATAAACCTGAATGTGCTGTCATGCATTTCAGTGGTCGCTGCTAGCAGATGCCAATATTTGGAAAGATGCTGCTACCCAAATGTTTTTCACCCTTAGCCTGGGCTTTGGTGCACTGATTGCATTTGCAAGCTACATGCCTCTTCACAATCAAGTGATGCGTGATGCATATACTGTGGTATTCATCAACTGTGGCACATCACTGTTTGCTGGTATTGTGGTGTTTTCCATTCTGGGATATAGAGAACATGTCACAGGCATCCCAGCCACTGAGNTTTCTAAGTTCTATCTTTGATGCGAAAAAAATTCTTGCACATGCCATTGCCCACTAAAAAAAAGTCATGCACAACCTAAAGGTACGAAAAAACATTCATACTCTAGAAAGTTACATAACCCCTGCCCCCCTCCCCTTCAAAAAAAAAATAATAATGGTCCGTCCCTAACCTCGATTCTTTCCGCCTACGAGCGGTTTCCGTGGATACCATGGGATCGTCACGCCTTCTTTTCCCGCCAATCTTACTCGTCTTCGACTAAAGCGATCACACCCTGGGAACATTTTTCACGCGATCACATTTTTCACGCGACAACATTGATTTCGAATTGTGCAAAACAGACTGCTTTTGATTAGGCGGAGAAAATTGATCCAAGGTCGTGACCATTGTTCAAATATTGTTAATATTGTTTCCTGTTGGCGTGTTTACGTGCGTGATTGACATTCCTCGGATGCTGCTTACATTTCATTCGTATGCTCACGGCATCTGAATACCTTGGTTTTGCACTCATTGCTGTACATATCCTGAACTCATCACTTCATCTTCCTCCCGAAATAGAAGTAACTGGTCGAGATCAGTCAAAAAGTATAAAACTGGAAGCCTGAAATCAGGTGCGCGCACTGTTGCAAAACTCATTTGAATAGCACAATCAACTGCGTGTTTACATCGTGGAAGTTTGTAAATTGTCTTTGGCAGATTTAAGCAAGTCAAATTATGAGCGATCATATAGGTTATCTGTTCAGATGGTTTTTTTTAACTGAGCGTTTTAGTGACTCCCTACGTTAGATGTCTTGTAACATCCATCCCGTTTAATGACGCGATTTTTTTTTTACATATATTTCTTGTTCATTGCTCTTCACAGGTATGGATCTATCTTTGCGAGATGACAAATCAACCGATTTCCTGACTCACAAATCTAAAGAAGACCTTTCTTATGAACCGAAAGAATGGAAGGGAAAGTCTTCAAATGACATTACCGCTGCCGAGAGTGGTGATGGTGGGAAAGAAAACCGTGAGACTTGGGGACACAAAGCGGAATTCATCCTAGCCACTGTTGGTTTAGCTGTTGGTTTGGGCAACGTTTGGAGGTTTCCGTACCTTTGCCAGAAAAATGGAGGAGGTAAGAATGGAGTCTTAAAAATTTCTTCACGTATTATTACGTATTTCAGTGGAAAACCAAAAAAAGCTAAAACTTAATTTAATTTCAGAAGAGAACGCCCTACGCGCCGCAGGTCGCGCGTCGCATCGTGTTTAAGCGCCTTTCAATTCACCAACAGAACAACGCATCACGCTACACGTCGAACCTCGAAATCAAAGCTTTCGCTGAAATCCACACTGTACTTGACCCCTCATGTCAGCGTAGCTTAATGCGGTTTTTTCTTATACGGTGGGGAAGAGAGCAGGATCAATGGCTACTGTTTTTATCATTTATGCTAAAACGTGACCGAATGACGAATGCATACACGCGATTGCGTAACGAGTATCAACAATGTTGGAGATAAACTAACATACGGATGGGTTTGTTTGGAATCATCCCAAAGAAAAGCACTCTAAAATCAAAGCCAGAACTTGAGCAAGACTCGAGTGAAGACTATATATTACTAGAGAGTATATTTCTATCAACGGAGTTTAATTATTTGTGAAAGTTCTTGTTACTGTGATCTACCAACTATGCTGTGATATGTCATTTTTCAGTGAACCATAAATAGTAAATGTATGTACGTTAAATATCTATTGAGTAAATACATATTAAAAAAGTAATTTTAAATTCTTTGTGTACCCAGTCCATGGACCCAAGTGTGGACCACCCTAAATTTGTATCGCTTGGTATATAGGATGGACTGAGAACTGCAGATAGAATGCAAACAACACCAGTATCAATACTATCAATATACCACCATCAATATTTCACAACTGTTATCTTCTCTTCCTGGACAAAAATAGTTGGGAATGTTTTCAAAATACAATTAATTACATTGAGTTCAAATTAATAAATAGCAAACACAAACAAGCCTTGTACTTCTGTTGTTAGAGCAATGTTTGCTACCTTTGCAAGGGGATAGGGAGGGACAGAACAAGACTGCTAAATTACCTTCTCAAACTCATTAACAATTCATCAAGTTTGAACAAAGGAATTCTTGACCGTGACGGTGTGTGGATATCTGATCTTAATTAGCATCGATTTTGACGATTTAATTTCTCCTTTTTCTCCTTAGTTTTAGTTTCGATTGAGAATATATATCAAACACTCAAGACAGTGTTTGACCACATTTCCAAACACCTCGAAGTTCATCTAAAATACTGTGCTCCGCGTCATATTTTCATCTCTCTTCTTGGTGCTTGGAAATGTGGTCAAACATGGTCTTTTGTGTTTGATATATTACTTCCAAACAATTTTTCTTGGGCTTCTGTGTAATTAATATGCTTTTGCTGCCAATTCAGTTTTAAACACAGTCTACAATTATTTCCTCTTCTGATTGATTCCTGGTGATTCTCTGATTGGGCATGCCATATGGATGAAGCATCGAACTCCTACATCTGTGAAGCATACCTAGCTTTTTTCTATCCCTTATTAAGCTTGTACAGTACTGATAATTTTTACAATTTTGAGATAGATAAAAAATGAAAATAAAACTAAAGATTTATTGCCCACCTTGGATGTACTCGACATTTTTTTAAAACCAAACCATTCCAACTTAGGTCAAACAAAAAGGGCTGGACATTACATGTAGTTCCACATTGCTACTAGTGTTATTTATAGGATGCTCCTGTCTTAGATTTGTTGTAAACAGAGTTCAGTTTTATGAACACATATTTGCAACTTTTTCCCTCACTTAATGCCACTCTTTATCAACAGGTGCTTTCCTTATTCCTTATGTTATCTTCATGGTGATTGAGGGATTACCACTCTTCTTTCTGGAGCTAAGTATTGGTCAGCGAATGAGGAAAAGTGCCATAAAATGCTGGCAAGATGTGCATCCAGCCCTGTTTGGAATTGGTGTGGCATGCCTTATGGTGTCTCTGATGTTGTGTCTCTATTATGTGGTTGTAATAGCTTGGTGTTGTTATTACTTCTTCATTTCATTTACCTCACTACTGCCGTGGGAACACGACAAGCTATGTAACAACTACAAGGCATTTACACAACTTGGAGAAGCTGTTGCCCAATGTGCCAAGAACAACTCTTGTTCAAACACAACTCATGCACGTTTGAAGTCAGAATATGATAACTTCCCTGATTGCTGTGTGCGAGATCCACCACAATATTACTTCTACCATCACACACTGCAGATCTCAACTAGTATTGAAGATACTGGTGTTGGAATAAATGGAAAACTTGCTGGATGTTTGGTGTTTGCATGGGTTATTACATACCTTTGTGTAGTCAAAGGAATCAAGTCAAGTGGAAAGGTATGATTTTTTAATTAAATTTGCTTCATCTGTAATGATACACTTGAAAAATTACTTGATTCTGATTGGCTAAGAGCAATGAAATTCAAGTGTACAGGGCAGGAAAAAAATTTGAAATCCACTTGCTCAGTGGGCCAGTAAATTTCAGTTTTCAATTTCCCTTACTTAAATATTACTTGCCAATGTGGCAGCCTGTATGGAATCAGAGGACAAACGTGAACGTATGTATGCGAAAGTATGCTTGGAATCCTAACTAATCCATGCTTACAACCTAATGGTTAACTAATCTTTCAGTCTTAGGTTTTGAAATAGCTTCTGACTGGAAATTATCATTAATATCAAGCTGAGATTTTTATTCAGACTCACAAGACTACTGGGACTAATTTCACTTGGCCACAAGGCCACTGGACTTCTATTTTTACTTGCCCAAGAACAAACTTTACTTCCCCCAGACAATCAAACCTGGGTTTTTTCCTGCCTTGAGAGCAAAAAGTATATCATGAATCCAAAGTTGTAAATGAGTGCAAATTACATTTGAAGAAGATTTCTGAAGTTAGTACAAAGGCACTAAAAGACTTGGTATTTTGAAGGTGGTCGAAGTTCATTCAAGGTCTTCACAAAATAGCCAAAGGTAATTAAACATTTTCAGAACACTTCCGAAGATCATCCGAACCCTTCCAAAGATCTATGAATATCACCAAAACATTTTGAAACACCTCCAAAGATCACCCAAGATTGAAGATTGCCAAAGATCACCTGAGGATTGTCAAAGATTTTCCCACATAATCAGAAGTTTTGCAAATGTTGAACAATTATTATTCCATGAGTGCACATCAGATATGAGATGGTAGATAGCCAACAAGGCCCTTTGAAAAATTTACTAAGCTACAACATTATCTTTCTTTACAACGACTAAAACAAACTTTTTATGACCTTATTTATCCATATATTTTGCATACAACACTGGCACGGAGTAGTACTCTATAGTCAGATATTAAGAAAATACAAACAAAACAGAGCCATGTTTCTTTGCTGTTACCTTTGGAAAAAAAAAACCAAAAGTGCACTCTCTTTATTAAATGTATACTTTATTCTAAACATAAATAATGTTTATGGTATATATGCCTTAAAATTTATATACCTTTGGCACATAAGGCAATCTGCTAATTAGACTTTCTAAAAGTAGAAGCAAAGCATTAAGTAAAGGTCGACTTGTGGCAAGTCTATTGCCTAACCTATCTGAATAAGAAAAAATAACCATAATGTTATTGTTGTTCAGTTACAAGTAGTTATCAAACAATTTGAAACTTTTATTAATGTGTAGCTGTAATCAGAAAGGAGAATTAATATTTTGATATTGGGATAACCAAGGTTAGAGAAGCCCATGCATTGTTCAGTAACCACATTTTTTGTGTTGATAATTTACCTCACAGGTTGTGTATTTCACTGCAACCTTTCCTTATGTCATCCTGATCATCTTGTTCTTTCGAGGAGTTACATTAGAAGGAGCAGGAAATGGTGTAAAAGCCTTTTTTAGCCCAGATGTAAGTACCTCAGCTTATAATCAGTTACCATAATGAAAATCCATTAGTTTCAATCAAGTACTGCATTAGTAAACAATTAGCTACAGATCTTACATGTCACAGAACTTCTCATGAATTTTTTTGTTTTCGTTTATTTTCCACCAACTTCTTCCCCCAAAGGGTGAATCCTTTTCCCACCATATAAACCTAATCTGGACCACAATCCTTTTGGAGCAATCTCACCAAGTGAGTTCGAAAACACCAAATGCTGTGATGCTGGCTGGGTGTAGCTTGATTAGAAACTTTCTTGTGTGAATAACAAACAATCTGAGATATACTACAGGGAGCTACATCATCAGTACGGAATTTCAGGGTTAAATCCCAGACATCCCTCACTAACAATCGAAGCACAATATTTCTTTACTTAGATCACACTTGCCTACTCAGTTGCAGACAACTTGTTTTTTAGTTAAGCTAAGTTCTATACAAGATTAATGAATAAACCTGAATGTGCTGTCATGCATTTCAGTGGTCGCTGCTAGCAGATGCCAATATTTGGAAAGATGCTGCTACCCAAATGTTTTTCACCCTTAGCCTGGGCTTTGGTGCACTGATTGCATTTGCAAGCTACATGCCTCTTCACAATCAAGTGATGCGTGATGCATATACTGTGGTATTCATCAACTGTGGCACATCACTGTTTGCTGGTATTGTGGTGTTTTCCATTCTGGGATATAGAGAACATGTCACAGGCATCCCAGCCACTGAGGTATGTTGTTCTTCTGATCAGTGCCTGCAGACAATCTTGCTTAAAGAACCTTTATCACTTACTGTGATGCTCAATGGTCAGGGACAACAAAGGTTACCATTTCAGTTGAAAGTTTTATCAGCTATAGTTGTTTCTGCATTTTACAACTTCGCTTCAATTTGTTTTGTCATGTATTTTACCGTATATATAATTTGGTGTATATGAGTCAAGATTTTAGTTACACATTTGAACTAAGTAAATTTTTAATTTTCAGAGATAAATATTAATTAGACTTGGATATTGAAAAGAAATGTTGACATCAGCATTGTTTCTAAACAAGCAACATATATTTTGTTAAAGATTTCCCTAGAAATATAAACTTTGGTGTATTTTGAGCCAAGATTTTAGCTACATATTTGAACTAAGTAAAGTTTTTAATTTTCGGAGATAAATATTAATTAGACTTGGATATTGAAAAGAAATGTTGACATCAGCATTGTTTCTAAACAAGCAACATATATTTTGTTAAAGATTTCCTTAGAAATATAAACTTTGGTGTATTTTGAGCCATGATTTTAGATACATATTTGAACTAAGTAAAGTTTTTAATTTTCTGACATAAATATTAATTAGACTTGGACATTGAAACAATATAAATAACTTTAATTATGATGCATAATTGCCCCCGCAGGGTTTTGGCCCAGATGGCCAAAACCCGAGGAGGCACCCTAGAGGTCCCCGTGTATAGGGAGGAAAATTTTGCCGTAGCAGAAAAATCTCGATTTTTGAGAACAGTCGGCTCGAAAAGGATTGCCGAAAGTTTGCTGGGGATCGAATAAACACACCGCGATCAAGTTAATTCTTTCGAAATGGCGGAGATTCTGATATAGAACAAATTGAAGACAATTTCAAAGATCCTAAAGATGGATTTTGAGATAAAAACAACTCACAACAACCAGTAAATCTTGATATTCGATGCGAGTGTCACTTTGCTCATGTTCAATTGTGACTAAAATACTTCTGATCGCCAGTTCTACCTTTGGCATGTCGTTTATTCAGATCGTTTATTTGTCTTGAGTAATCTTATGTGGCGTAGGGCTGATGTCATGGCTGTGTGACTTGGCAGGAATCCAAACATAAATGTAAATGTTTTGCAGCGTTTTCATTGAGGACAAAGAACTAGAGGTGACAGTAACACGATACTTCTGTTAATAACCTGAGTATCAGGCCTTTCTTAGCAAGAGGATAAGGGAAGAGGGGAATGGCAGAGAAAGGCCTTTTCTTTGCTGGGTGCTTCCTCCTCCTACTCGTCTCAAAAAAATTGTGACAGCAAGTTCCAGATGATTTTCTCAACTGCTGTTCTGCTTTCAAGATACGTTTGCTCTTCTAACAAGAAAAATGGTTTGTTTCATCATCAAATTCAAACAACAGAGTGGTTTGACATAATATTTTGTTTCTCTATAATTTTTTAACCTTCAGGAGTGAAATTTTTGAGTGAAATTTTTGTAACAGAAATATTAGTTCCCATGAAGGAAACCTTTCTTTTTTCCATTTATAAATATATTTGCAAAATATTAATGTGTAAGGCAAGGAAGCACATTATGTAAAGGACTACCTGACTACAACTAGTATTAATAAAGATACTCACTGTGTTATTCAACATCAACAGGTTGGATCTGGTCCAGGACTTGCATTCATGACATTTTCTGATGCCATTCTTCTGATGGACGTGTCACCACTCTGGGCCATTCTTTTCTTCTTCATGTTGATTCTCCTTGGAATTGACAGTGAGTTTGGTACCCTGGAAGCAGCCATTGGTCCAATAATGGAGCTTAAGATTTTCCCCAATATGAGGAAGGAATTGCTGACACTACTTGTCGCTGTGATTCTGTTCCTGTTTGGTTTGGCCATGGTTTCTGGTCCAGGTTTCTATATCTTCCAAATGTTTGATGACTATTCAGTTACAATCCCATTATTGGTAATTGCCCTATTCCAGTGCATTGGAGTGGCATGGGTTTATGGCAATGACAGGTATTGTGTGAGAAAAATCCTATGTTTATGCAATTGATCAGTCTGTTGTTATTGAGGTTCACCTGTAGTCTGGGCCAAACAGTTCTTGTTTTACTTATGGGTAATTTTACCTGGGTGGACTAGGATTGACCAGCCCATGTTTTCTAATTTGTTGTATTATATAGTTTTGTCAGTGACCTGAGACCTACTCTCTCAGTTAGCTAGCTCCTTATTGAGAGAAGGGAGGAAGAAGACGTGGACAAGATGCCAACTAATTAATGAGAAAAGTTTGAAAAGTTCACTAAAAGTGACAGAAAACTCCACACAGCCAATCTTACCTGTCCACATTCCAAAGCCAATGAACATTCCATCTTTTCTGTGTGATTTTATGGTAGACAAGATGAATTAAAAATTCTCTCTTTGAGTGTGCAGTTTCAGTAATAATTCAGCTGCCATTGACCTGAAACAAAAATGCACATCAAAACAGCCAAAAATAACATCTACCCCATTCTGAGAGTCTATGGGAAAGCTACAGGTGAAGTTTGTTATGGTTGGAAAATCCACTGATGTCAAACCAGGCACTGTGTTAGCCAAAGGAAATTAAATTATTCTAAAATTTTGGCATAAGCGGCACAACTGAGCCATCATATTTTTGCTTTTCTAAAGACACTGATCACAGTTGGATTATGTAACCACGCCATTGTTCTAATCTCAGCCAATCAGTATTTTGCATTCAAAATTTGTACACACTGATTCAGAATTCAAAGCGGTGCAGGTAGGCTCTTTTTCCCCTCCAATTTCCTCCCCTCTTTCAGTTGTCACGCAAAGAGCCTGCTCACCACGCTAGTCCTGTTGAAGAATTTGAATCAATCAATTATTGAAGACCTAATCAGGAAAGGGGTTTAAATATATTACAGGCTGAGATGTACTCAAAAGATACTTAAGGCAAACATAACATAGCTCTTGAAGGAGAGGTCACTCCAAATGGCTAAACTAAGTGCAGGGTGTTTTTTTAGCGTTGACAAAAATTATTTTTTTTGGAGTGACCTTCTCTCTTAAGGACATTCACCAAATTAACTTTTACAATGTTATGTCAACAGGTTTGCTGATGACATTGAATTCATGACAGGAAAGCGACCATGGATTGGCTGGATGATCTGCTGGAAATACATCTCCCCTCTAGCTTTGTTTATTGTTCTTGTTGCTCTCATTGCTCAGCAGAGTCAGAGTGCTCCGACGTATTCTAAATTTGTTGGATGTAAACAGGTATGATAAGTGCATATTAAACATGGGTATCAGAGATTACCAGAACTGTAGTTTGTTATATAACCTACATTTGTTTTCTACTGTTCTGTCTGTAATCAAAATAATGTGATTAGAGATTTGATTTGGTTCGACCATGAACCCAACAGTGACCTCCAAATAAAGGAGGGCCACTGAGATCATTAAACTCTCCCAAACTATCAGGGGTGTTTTTGTGATTCTAAGATTTTAGCAAACTAAAGACAGCCATTATAGGTGACCCTGTGATCCTCTCTTTTATATAAGGGACTAGTTTTAGTTTTTGATAGATTGAAAGTAGAAGTTTCACTCTTTCCATCAGAAACCATACAGTGGTGGAGGTTCCGATACATGGACAGAAAGCACTCCATACCCAGGCTGGGCAGTATTTGTTGTTGTAATGATTGTGCTTGCCTCTACTCTCCCAATTCTCATATGGATGATCAAGGATTGGCCTAAGAATTGGCGTGCAAGCTTCCACAAGACATTCTTTTCTGGAGCCAACAATTACCTTCCTGACCCGAAGAAAGAAGAAATTCCAGAAGCTCAGACTAAGGGTGCAAGCAACTATGGCATAGATGGGGGCAATGTAATGTAATGTATTATAAGGCAGTTGTAAAACAAAGCCTGTTTTGCTATGTGACTTGGCAACATTTTTTTATATATTAACCAGTGAGACAACAGACAAAGCTAGCAGAGCAAGCTTTTCTGGCCTAGCTTCAAAGTGCACTTTTGTGGGACGAAACATAGGGTCAGAAAGGCACATTAAAATTTAAAGTAAGGTCATTCACCCAGTAAAAATAGGGTTCCATTTTCTTAGTCCCAGCCTGTAGTAATCTACAACATTTGAGGGTATTATTAGCTTGGTGAGCATCTGATTTATCATTTTCTATCCCCCAATTTATACATATACAAAAGTAATTGCTCCATGTATGCATAATGGATTTCATTGTTAGTTAACTGACACATAGTTCACACATGTATGTTTGTATTTACCATTAAGCATTTTGTAGTTATTTCCAAGTGTACAAAAGGCAAGGAAATGATTCTGAGGCATGAAAAAGGAAGAGAAAACAATGCGGTTAGAGAGTTGGGCTGTGAATCCAGATGTCCATGAATTATATTACATGTATATTGCATTGTTGAGCAAGTGTTACTGTCACAGTTTCTCTATCCACCTGGATATAATTGTCAAGACAACCTCCAAACGTCCTAAGCTCTATTTGCTAAAATCTGTGCCTTTGGTTTAATGTGAGCTGCCTCAGATAGGTTCCTTCCAAAGAATGTAGCAAGCTTTAATCAGTGTTTGACAAAATCAATTGTTTATTGCTGCCCTTTTCCTTATAAATGTACTGATAACTTTAGAGAGAAAAGTAGAAGACCAAGTTAGTGATATCTACAGTTAATGTTACTGTATGGCATTTTAGAAATAATTTGCTTCCAATATGGTATTTGACTTCATTTAACCCTATTCAAGGCAAAACTGTCCTGCTTTTCCTCTCAAAAGTATCACCGTCTGTTATTTTTTATAGGCCTGTAAATAATGGGCTTCACATGAGTAAAAAATTCAAAAAGAGCACTGGAAACAAAGGAAAAAAGACCAAAATCAGTTTTAGCTGAATTATCTCATATTTGTTTGCTTCTGATGTGGGAGTTTCTCTTGTTGCTGCTGCTTCTACAGTTCTTTAAGTTCTTGTTGTCAGCTTCCCCAAGGACAAGATGACCCTGGGTTAATGTGGGCCTTTGTCTAATCTTGAGTAGCTTTGGTGGCTCTGTTCTCTATAGTATTATGACCACAGGTGCACCAAGGATGAAATCTTCTGGAAATCTCCCTGCCCTCAAAGTAAACTGTCTGGGTTTTTCAATGTTTTATGACATGAGCATGATCAAGAAAAAATGAGTGAATTTCCTTGTTTCCTTTTGTGAAATTCTGTAATATAACTGGTTATAACTATTTTACTCAAATTGGTGCTCCTTTTTGGGAAAATCTATCTGACCACTCCTACTTTTAATTACCAAAGAAGTAATTTAACATTAATTAAGAGAGACTCTGTACAACATCAACTTCTTAGTGTTTAAATTCTTACCTGGCCACATTTTACCAAAGGAAATTCAAGCAAATCACTCACTAGGCACCCAAATGGTGGAAAAATGTATTTCTTTGGGCAGCCTTAATCTAAGACTGAGATGTAAAACACTATTTCATTGTAATTTGTTGCTTATTATAATTACTGGATAAGTTTGAGTGAACTGGGAATAAAAACAAATGTGAAAACCAGCTTTGAAAAAATAACACAAGTGCATGCAAATGGTATGTTCACTTTAAATGATTGCGCTATGGAATTACTGTATTTCCAAACATGTAAGTAAGGTCTGCTAGCAAACACCCAACAGGACTTAACTTTGACTTGAGTTCATAAATCTAAGCTCCCACATCTCTTCCACCATAAGAATTCAAATATTTCCCAATTTCTTTTCATTGTTGCCAATCCCCCATATATGGGTTTAGATGCCCTCTCCCCCACCCAACCCCAAGGAAGCCAATGGTGAATGCATTCTGTAGATATCATCTTGTGTCAATATGCATTTGTGAGTACAGCACAAGACCTTTATATATGCCATTATCTACCGATCAATACTAATGCTTTTATAATAATATGTATGTGCCTTCAGGAATATTTTGCAGGAATTAAACTTATAAGCATAAAAAAATAAGTGGGTATCCAATGAGAAAGACTAGGGAAAACTTGTTCTAAACTCATGAACTGATTTGTCCTTTTGTACAATTTGAAATAGCTTAATATCACTTACTTTTTGTAGTCAGGCTGATACTAAGTCAAGTACATCTTATTTAGCCGCACATCTGAATTGTTTTGTTTTTCTTGTGTATTTAAAGTATTTTAACATTACACTAGTGTAGTGAAACCAGTTGTGAGTCTTAAATTAATAAAATGCTGCTCATAAGGAAGAAAATAAAGTAACGTAGACAAGAACTCGTAGAGGTATTTTCCTCCTTGTTTGTCTGGGAACAGTATGAGTCAAATAAAATGGAGGCCAATTGCCAATGTGGCTTCTGTTAAGACTTATGCTGAACATGCTCAGTAGATGAACTCTGCGTGCACATTAAATCAAAGGACGAATGAAAGATATCTTACCTGTTGTATAGCGACCATTTTGAATTTTAATACACGGGCATTTGGCGCGAGGTCTGGAACCGGGTTCCGGGAAAATCAGGATCGAGGATTCAGGATCAAGGATCAGGGATCAAGAAAATAAAATTAAAAAATAAAATAAATAGAAACAAAAATGAAAATAAACGCAACAAATAGTTGTAAGCACTACATAGCTGGCGTGGCAGGCGTTCAAAGGAAAAAGAGAGGGGGAAACTAGAAGCGCAAAGTGTGATTGGAGGGGGACATCACTTTAGGGACACTTTGACATTTCATCAACAAACTTCAATCTACTTATCACTTCTATCATATTTTAGAAGATAAGTATTCTATTTATCATATCATTGTTACGACCAAGGGTATTCTTTCTCGTCGTATTTATGTTAAAAGAATAACACATTTGTAGCCAGAGTCACATGACCAGAACATAAAAAACAGAGGGTAAACCACTTCCCCCTCATTTACATGTCATTTCCATTTAACAAATTGACGTCAGTTTTCCATGTGCCTTTCTGTTATTTTAATTTCGTCATAACATTGTCAAAGTAGCTGGGGTTCCACAAGGCGATAGCCGAGTGGATCCGCAGACTACTTTGACAATGTTATGACGAAATTTATTGTCAGTAACAGGACAGACGCATAAAAACTGACGTCAATTTGTTTTTTAGGATAACAAATTGTCAAATTTTCTGCTCTCGCTCTTTGACGCATCACACAAATTATAAATTCATGTTTCTGTCCGCTTATTGACAATGAAAATTAGCCGATGAGCGTGCGAGAATTTCTGCAGTTATCGTAAAAAATCCTATCACCCTACGCAATCACGAGTCAAAAAGGGCTCAAATACACAATACGAGCAAAAAAAGGTCAGCAATGCGTACTTGTGGTCTTATGCTTAGTTTTATTCCATTCGGTTGGAATGTTGTTTTTAAATGTCAGTATTTGGGAGTTGAATTGTTACCAGTGAGAAAGTAGACAAGTCGTTACAATTTTTAAGTGGGAAATGTATGGCATTTATTTAGCTCTTAGTCCCAATGGGACATAACACAACAACAATATCTCAATTTAGCCCTATTTTGTGCATTGTCCCACTGTTAACACATGTCAGGTGAACTTGTACCTGCAGTGTAAAGATGTTTTGCTGCTGTAATGACTAAACCTGTCTAAATACATAACAACATCAACAACTGAGTCCTGCGGGGTTGTCAGTTGTATTTTGAGTAGCGGGTTCCATCCAAAAGTAGGCATCCAGACTGGTAGTCATCTAAGGTTTGCGTGAAAAACATGCCGCGGAGAGGCACATTGCGCATCGTTCGGAAAGAGTATGGGAGGGGGTCGCCGCCTCTCATTGGGAAATTTTTTGAAAAACAATTCTCTGAGATACAATGTGGGACTACTTTCTAGGATACTATTCTAAGATACTTTATTCTGTGTTTTGCACGCTTCAAAAATTGATGCGCTAAGGTGAAGAACATTTTAAGGCTAATTAAGGTGATCCGTAGAATTGCATTGCGTATTCCTATTGCGCACGATTTTCGCGTCATTAGCGCGCGCTCACGAACGCGTGCACATGAACAACATATACAAAATGGTGGCTTTTTCTAAACGGCTTGGCTTGTGAGAGACAAATTATCGTTTTTTCCTCCGAAACAAGTACCGGGACCTAACGATTTTTTATTTAGTTTGAATGCAGAGATCGCCTTCTTTCTATACAGTGAATATGGACCAATTTCTAGTGCAGAGTAAAAAATTATTACAGAAAATGAGAGCATGGCTAGCACTCGATAAGATAATATGTGGCCCCAGAACACTGCGTGCTTAGAACATATTGAATCCCTGTCGACTAAATGAGTGCTTTTATCATGAAACGTACATCAAATTGCTCCTTAACATTGATGCAATACGTCCATTATTGTATTTCTCTTTTTCTGCTCTCTTAAAGCGTAAGGTGAATAGTTCAAATAAAAACGTTTCTGAAAGTGGAATTATGGGGTTTATTGAAGCTCCTCCTGCACCTAAACGAATACGGGGACCCCCCTTTTTTATTTCAAATTTAAAGTTCTCTTGATGTAAGCAGCCAACGGGTAAAGTTTGAAAGAACATCTATTGTGAGTTCCATTTCGATGGAATTACCAAATCAGTTTCGATTCTTGTCACGCACTTTTTTAGCAAATACTTTATTCCCTCCGATCCAATTTGGTTTCAAACAAATTAGTGACCGAACAATTTTATTTCCATGTTATTTCTCCAATATCAGGTTGAGGACTAACCTACTAGCATTCGGAGAAGGTGGCGCAGTTTTCGAAATAGCCGGTTAAAACTGGCTTGTGAGAGCTCGTGTGGTGCAAACCGCACCGGGTTTCAAGCCAGTGAATGTGGGCTTGCGAAAGCGGATTAGTTTCCAGTGCAATCCGCACTAATAAACACAGGCCGAGTCTAGATGTGCTGGGTTGCGTAAGCAAACAACTCCCGTATCGCCGAGGAAACTTACTCCAACTCCTTGGTGAAATGACAAAGAACAAAAATGTCAGTGCAGTTAATTTTCGAAATGAAAGGAAGAAAACCAATCATAAACAGCACGACAGAGCGATTTTGAGATAGAAATAACTTACCTTGAACAATTACAACTAATTTGTGACGGAAAGCTCTTCAAAATTTTCACAAAACAGGTTAATCGGCTGCAATTACGCAGTACAATGGCCGATGTAACAACTACTAGTACCCAGTCTACCTGCCGGACAATTAATACTCCCGGAGATCTGTCACATGTCATCTCGTGTTCAAAGATCGGCCTTTGTGGTCTGTATGCATGGTAAAAACGTTTGTATGATAACTCATAGTCGCTACAGAAAAAGTGGACGCGTCCGCCCAAAGTTCATTTATGTCAATCTCGATCCCAGGCTTTCCTCCTTTGCCCCTTCCGTTTATGAGAGATCTGGCGTGCGTTTCTCAAAAGACCCGAAAACTTTTCGGGCCCGTATAGCCATTTTTAGTTCATCTTTACCTAAAAACAGAGAAGTGTATACGCCTGAAACTTCTGGCATGAAGGATACCTCTGTTCAGATTAAGAATATGTGACTAAAACAGCTCTGTA